GAGCTGAGAGTAAGGGTTAAGGTAGGACAACTGCACCCGAGGTTGTTCAAGGAAAATACTTCAGCTCCACCACGAGTGAAATTAATGGCGCATCTCAAACCACGAAATGCCACTTTCCAGAAAAGCATTTCAATCGTGTTGTACGTACACACACACACTCACACTCACATCCGCCTTCTGGAAAGATCCAGTTTCCAATTCTTACCTTTCGGCTTCTCCATCAAATCTAAAAGCAATCCCTAACATACTAACTGGAGGAAGACCAGGCAATAGGAAATGGATAAGTAAAGCATTCCATTTGATATTGTGCAAGGTTAAAGGAATAAAAATTGTTTCAAGAAAAATATTTAAGTATCAGACAAACACAATGAAGTGAGCAATCCTTGGACCTCCTTATCTGCATGATGGATGTCGAATTTTTAGTACAAATCATCACCAATCACCTCCTGTGAGTTGAGTAAAGGTGGATCTAAGAAAATGTAACACTTCACTTTTACCTATTCACCGTAACGATAGTAGTAGACTGCAAATGTACAGCTCACATCATTCGGAAGGCGTTGAAGCTCCAATTTACCCAAAGGTAAACGCAAGATTGTGTTAAGACGATGATGTCATGGCAAATGCTGGTGTAAAGACGATTTCGCCTTTGCTATTTTAAGACCTCAACTCACTGGCATCAACTTTTGTGCTATTTTGAGGAAACCTTGAGAAAATTGCGTTACCGAGGCCGCATTTGTTGCCTCAGTTTCAATGCAAGATGAGACCAGTTCATTTCACCCTCACACAGAAAAAATTGGAAATTTGCAAGATCAAAACCTTTGCTACCATGACTTTTTCAAAATTTGCTTTTAAGTTAAGAGGAATTTTAATGGGACTTGGTGCTTGGAGCTCACTTGACTAACTTTCGGTGAGTAATCAACGTAGTCATTGGTGAGCAAATGTGTTCCAGGACTTGGCATGGCAAGAGCTCTTCTTTCAAACTAAGAGCAAAGGGAACTAACAATTTTCAAACCCTATTTTAGATGTGCAGTAGAGAAGGAAATAGGAGATTAACGTCGCAGCTACACAAGAGAGTCTTGAAACTTAAAAACATCCCAACAGCAGATTGAGTCTTGTCTAATCGGATGGAAGATGAAAAAGAAGTTTAGAGAAGGATTGAAGTTTATTGTGAAATGTGCCATTGGTACGCCTTTCTGTGGGTAGGTGGAGGGCTCAAACAAACCCGAAGTAAATGAGAGGAAGATATGAAAGCAATCAGTAGGACTTCGTCCAAGCAACAAAGGTTTGAGTGAAGAGGGCTGAAGAAGACTGACCTTGTCGACTTCTTCAGGATACCACTTGGGAGGGGAGAGACGAACCTCACCATGGAGGGCACAATCAGCGCAGGCCTGGGGGAAGAGCTCAAGAAGAACGTTGGCGCCGGGTCGAAGGGTGACGCAACACTGCGATGACCATGTTGCTCCTTCCTCTGTAGCCGTTGGTGGAGCCAACGCCACCTCCACCGTTGGTGTTGTCTGGTGGGACATTATCACCACAAAGGTGATGGCGCCCTTCATCGAAGTCCACTGCTTACTGCACTTCTACAGCAAAATACGATAACTCCTTTTCATGTTAATTCCTACTTGGTGCATACAAGTTATGGTGTTTCCCGAAAATTCTGTTGACATTAGCATACAACTTGAGTTATTAAGACTTCATCATTTGGTCGAATGTGTGTGATTCTAAAATAGGTATTTCGGTTTCCTCACTTTGTATTCAACACATTCTGTTTGTTCTTTCTCTAGCTTCATGGAAGACTGAGAATACTACACTCGATCAACTCTCATCCACGACACTTAGTTTGAAGCATAAAAAAAGATTAGAGCACTGAATATTATCACGGATGATGCAAGCTTCAACCCACCAAACACATGAAGCGTGTCTTCGCCTCATCTTTGAAGCACACCACCTGGAGGTGATTAAAGCAATTTTTCTGCGCTTGTCGCTCGTTTGTTACTAGGGGCAACTGCGGTGGCAACGGAGACACAAGCTGATGCAGTGTCGCCTGAGGAAAGGTTAGTGGCGTAGGCAAAGGCTGTATTTGGAGAGGCACCTGCGTCAGGGGTGAAGTCAGAGCCAAAATGTCGATAAGTAAATTGCCTGTTAACGGCAGCAGAGGTGGTGTCGGCGCTGTTAATATGGGCATCGAAGAAGTAGGAAGGAAGCACTGAGTGGGTTGAGTCAGAAGAAGCAGTGGTAACGCAGTGCTCGGCTGCATGGAAAGGGGATTAAATAGAGCTGAAGATGGCAATGGTGACTGAGGTAGAGAGGGAGGAGGGGGCAGTGGAGGTGGTGGTGGCAGTGGTGGTGGTGGAGAAGTCCTTCGGGATGTGAAGATGAGTGAACGCAGTTTTGAAAAGTATTGTTGAATCTGAGGCCAATTATTAAGGATTGGTGCGTTGGTAGTCGCAGAGAAGGGAGTGGAATGAAAGACAGCCTCTAATGGCACCGAATTAGCAAGGATTTGTTTGAGCAGATGAAAGGTGGCCAGATGCTGTCCAGAAGGGGAGGAGAAAGGAAGAGAGGTAGTGGTGGCAGTTTGACCAGGGGATGTAAGAAGGGTCATTTGAGCTTCTGGCCAGCAATCCACCGAGTGACTTGTGCAGGAGGCTCGAACACTCAACAACCTGCCGGCCAGGTCCAAACTCAACTGCACGAACCGCGGGTTCCAATGACTGTCACGCATGCTGCAACACACCAAATAACAAACAACTTTTTAGCTACACCACATCACCCTTCCGCCATCACTTCGGCTCACAGCTGTGCAGAATACGTCCTTGCAGCAGTGCTCGATGCTCGCTCGAGCCAGTGTGAAAGGGACATGCACCTTACACTTTCCACTGTGCAGATATGAACCTTGCAAAATGCAACGCTCTGAATGTTTTGCCTCTCCGTCCAACTACAACCCGACACATGGAGGCAAAATCTTCGGGCACAACACACGAACGTGCGCGTTGTGTTGAACGACATGAAGTTGCTTTTCAGTCGGTGGAACAGCAGTGACGCGGTTCTGGAGGCGACTGTCTCTGGTGGCTTAAACTGATTTCGAATGTAGCACTGACATGACCGTGGAATGACCGGAGGGGTGTGACGACGTCTGGTGTGGTGTGACGTGGTGGTTTGTTGCAGTCAGTGGGGAGCGATGGAGGATGTGTGTTTGCTTATGCAATGCATGTGTGTGGAGCGACAGTTGATCATTGCCAGCAGATGATTTATGGAGACATTCACTGTCTTCATCCCTTTCCTTATTTCAACGTCCGTTGACGGACATAGAAATGTTGGTTGAGGGCCAATTGAGGGAAGCAGGTGTACTTCATTAGCGTTGGGATGAGGACTAGGATAGTCACATGGCTGGAAAATTTTGCGCTCTAGTTGTGGTAGGTGGTAATATGCCGCACCTAGCAGAAATCCACCATCCCATTGGGACGGATTTAATCCTACTCGCCTGGAGGGGGAGGTAGAAGATGCAATACTTTTGATGAGGATGTTCCTTTCTAACAATACCAAATCTGACGATGAAGCGTTAATAGTATCGTGCCATCGCAGTCAATTTTGAGGACCGCAATGCTTTTAGCGGAAAGAGGAAGCAGAGTTACTCACATCCAAAGCCAAATAAGTGACAGCCGGAAGTTGTGTTCTACTTCTCAAAAGGGTGCCAACTCTGCAGATTGACTTGTGGTAATGACCAGCTTTGCACATTAGGACAACAAACTTGTTGTTGAACATCTCAACGAGAAACCATACCACACTCACGTCACATTTGTAGTTATAAAATACTGCAGATGCAAAACAGAGGTTTACAAGTCAATTGGAGTCTTCTGAGACGACATGAGATGTTACATTAATGGCGAGAAGATGCCAGCGGGAGTAGACAATGCAAGACCTCCACCAACAGTCGAACTAATTCGTGAGGAAACGTGCTTTGCATGATCAGTGGCAATGAGTTGGTGTGCCTCCCACCTTCATTCTCCCCACACTTGTCATGCCACCCATCACTACCTTTCCTCGGGTTTTATACAATTAAGTGCAAAATCTTTATGGCTCAATGAAAACCAGTGGTGAAATGTATCAACCAAATCTTTGTAACTGATAGTTTACCATAAAAATTTCTTTTGTGAATATTTTCTGAATGGTATTCCTCAGAATGCTTGGAAAGATACTGCATTTTGGTGACCGAGCAAACAAGTCAGGCTGAATGAAATTGTTCCCATCATCATTGCTCTTTTTCCCATCCCCATCATTCTAAATGTGCTCATCAACGGAAAAGCAAAAAATTGATTGTACACGGACTTGTGAAAACTTTTGTTCGGTGCCGTGGTGTGAAATGCGCCTGCCATCGCGCTAGCCCTCAGCACCTCTGCCAGAGTGCTGTCGCCCATCGGATTTTAAGAAGTCGCAAATTGCTACAGAGCGGCTATCACTTGTCCGGTGCTAGGGTAACGCTCTCTGAAATCTGCGCGTGCAGCAGTTCAATCTGCAAAGATGTGTTGAACTTTTAAGTCCATAAATGTCAACACCTCATGTGAAAAGGGTCAAAAAATCGCAGACCAACGAACAACCCTTCCGTAAGAAGGGTGCCCTAAATCGGACGGCTATTAAAAAAGAGTGTGGAGCGAAAACCGCCTGCGTATGTTGCGAAATGGCTTGCTGCTGAAGTCACAAAACAAGTCATTTTGTCTTTACAAAATTGAAACTGAACCATGCATTTTTTTGGCCCTTTTTGACGAGCTACGCAGGGGGCCACTGTTAGGAGTTGCACACACCGGAAATATGTGACGGACTGTACGGCAGGCCTTAAAGCGGTCTCAAAACGGCAAAGTGAGGCTAATGCACGACCTTTAGGTTGTTACTTTTGTTTAATTTAAAGTTATGGTACGATAGCGTGCATTGTAGGGTTGTAGTTGATGCTTGCATTGTCATTTCAATGCATCACCTTCCCAGAAAGTGGTGACCACGTGGACTGCCCCAAGCTGAAGAGATGTAATACTTTGATAATCTGTCTGACTTGTCATTTTGGTTCTCTGGGCACTGAAGCCTCCTCCAATGCACCTTTTCCTTAAATTTTGTGTCTCCAGGACTACGCCCCACTCACCATACACCAAAAATCCACGCTCTACCCATTTATTACTCCCCTTCTTCTACGAAGAACTTAGAGGATGCTCCCTTTAAGGACAACAGTTGACGACGATAATTCGAAAGCCGGATTAGAATCTAGTTCTCGCATTGCACTCGCAATCGTGATGTGATGGAAGCGGAGCAAATACTGCACATGAACTAATCTGCACGGATCTACAACAAAGGGCCTCAAAATTGTGTCAACTCTCGGCAACCGTCTCATTTTTGTGCTAACGCTAGGTGTGGCCATGCAACACCTTCGAAAGGAGCCGTCTAGCGTGCCTGAGTGAACACTCACTGCTTCCTTCAGTCCTCTACCATCTGGATGCAACTCAAATACCTGTGGCTAAGCAATACTGAAGTGCGAATATACGGCAAGACAAGGGAGGCACAGTTTTTTATCTCTTCAAAACGTTTTGCATCATTGTGCATTGAGGTCATAACTTTTGTTACTAGAGAAGGATGCACAAGATTGCTAGCCTACCACCTCCTTCCCCAACGCAGTTCTCATGCACATCCACTTCAATTGCCAATGGGATCAGTGACACAGCAGTGAGACACCTTTTTGAGTGCAAATAAGTTGGAGTGAAGGCCCTGTTGGTGCGTTATTCTCCTTTCTTGCACTATCGTGCCCATTGCAGGGAATTTTGCCAAAATGCTCCACCAAAGCAAAACACTCCAAATGAGAGAGCGGTTAGGCAATGCCTTCAAGAAAGAAATTTGATTCTACCTTGGTAAAGTGGCCTGCAAGATGCATGCTTAAAATGAAGCCACTTGTGCCACTCCATTGACGTGTTTTTTTTTTTTGTTAAACTTCATGAAAGGAAACTGCCTTCTTTAAATGCATGAAAACTATAGAAAATTGAGCTCTCCAATGCCAAATTATGCAATCAACTTAGAACTGTCAGTTGTCAAAGCGCTATTTTTAGTGTGTTTAGCCTCACACCTATTTTTTTGTCACACACAAAGGAAAGAATAAGCATGAACTGAAACAAAAAAGGAAAAATACAAATGTAATTTTAGTGCTTCTTAAATTTGTACCCATGTCAATCAAAGGCGGTACCGCTGATGTCCCCTCAGGATCGCGATCCGCCTAAAAACCACCAACCAAAATTTGAACCCCTTCATTAAAAAATTTTGCTATCTGAAAGGAGTATCACCTTCTCACTCTTCAACACGAAGGTCAGGTGAGCTGGAAGCAATTTGAGACCACAATGGTTGCTCTTTCCAGGCAAACTCACACGTTTCAATGTCTCCGTGATTTCACACACGCGTTCCATCTCTTTTTCTCCCTCTCTCGCTTGTTCTCGTTCTCGGTCCATCCGGTATCTGGTTCATGCACAGGCTCTTGATCCAACTCCATGCACACGTCTGTTCGTATGTGTGGCCCAGATAGGCTCCACAACACACCCACCTCTGCCACCCGAGCCACACGACAAAAGAATTACCTCCTTTCGCTCTTAGCTTCTTCCTTGGTTCATTAGGCCCAAAATGTCAGGAATCGCGTGGCTCCCTATTGATGTTGAGTTTGAAAGGCATTCATTAACTGTTAAACTGTGCCATGATTTGTGCTTTAAATGTCGCTGGAGTTCTTAAGGTGTTTACTCTCTGAATTTCACAGGACTAGCAAAACGCATCCGATTTGTTGATGCGGTGGTCTGTGAGGCTCAAAAATTGCCACTGCAATCAGGGCTGAGTTCCCTTGTAAGTGATAGGTCAGAAGCTATGTGTTTGGTGCCTTTGACAGCACTCAACAAGGGTGAAGAATGCGGCAGTTGGAAGTGCCGACCCAGAGATGGCTGCAACGTGTTGATAGAGCCTGGTGCTAGTAAAAGGCGTCTCATAAATTGACTTTTCCATCCTCTTTGACGGTGGGTAAAAATAGTGCCTTAAGATCATCAACAAATTTTAAGTCTTCCCACGATTACCGTCGTCAGCTTCGCTTTAAAGATTGTTTATATGAACTGCAATTCAGGCGGGTAATTACAAGGCACAAAGTACATCGGAACCATAGGGACCGTTGCTTAACTAACGGGGGTAACTGAGGTTGGTCAAATGTTCGTTTTCTTTTCAGAGAAGCTCTTGGAGCCCCTACAACGCGCTTCTTTGCCTTTCTGTTCGGGCGCGCTTTGTTGTTTGTTTACCTCCCGGTTTTGATAAAGAACTACGTAAAAGTGCTGCCGCGCCTTCACTGGAGTGACCCAGCGCTGGCACTACTGTGAACCTCCACTTTAGCTTTGTAGAAAAGTAAGTGTCTTCGGCTCCAATTTGTCCCCCCACGTAAGTCCCTACATGACAGGCACTAATTGTGGGGCTATGAGAGTAAAATCTGTTTGACCAACTAATGCTACCAAATGGATGGTAACCTACTATTGTTTCAGGGCACTCGAAAGGGGAGTGGATTCGCCTAGCGTCGATAACATTGAACTCGGATGGTGTTCAAAAGGCGCCACCTTTGCCACCATCCCCATCTCTCGTGCCTGGATAATGAAAGTCGCAATTCCTTGCTTACTGATTTTGACATTTCATAAGAGTGAGAAAAGAACGATTGATCTTCTGTTTAGCAGTAGT